CCTAAGAGAAACCTATAAACACAATAGCAGTTACTCCTAGATAAATCTAGATAGTGAAGCAGTCTGAGTCTATACTCCTAATCTGAATTGGAAGCAACATAGAGTTGAATTAAGACTTCAGTCAGTATAAGAGGAATATGATTTGGCTCACAAATCACATATTGTCCTAAGCCATTTATTATTGAACTGTTATTGATTGAATAACACATATAGGGTTTGTACAAAATGCCAAGCTATAAACCATGGCTTTTAAATTAAAATAACTGAATTCTCATAAAATGTAAAGCCAAACCAATCCACATTACAATATAGTATGATGTGTGAACTCAGCCAATTTGGTTTAGCCACATCATGGTTTAGCACAATGTGTGAATATAACCTGTAGGATTGGAAAGAAGATCAATTTAATCCAGAATTCTGTTTTCAGCAGTAAACAGCGACATCCCTCTGAGAGTTTATAGTAAGTTTACAGTAAGAATATAAAATGATGCATTCTAGCTCCCCACTTAATTTACATCTCCCAACCTGAAATGCCTCAGATCTGTTGGTAGTCCATGCCCTGGAAGATGGGAACATGAAAATTCCATTTAACTATAGGGACTAATTGACACAGCAGAGTTATTTTCTATAGAGTTATTACATCTTATTTTATCTTTAATCTATAATATTGTGTCCTTGAAGATCCTGCTGGCCTAGACAAGGCAAAGATTTATTTAGCATTGATCAGAACTACAAAAAGAGTTGGACTATTATTATATCAGCATAGCTGAATTCTGTAGGAATTCTCAGCTAGAACCATACTGAGAAACTAAATGTTTGGATTTCAGCTACTGGCAGTAAAAATTTTTGCAAGTGTCAGCAATGCATAATTTACTTAATTAAAGCAATATTGAGTATACTCTATGCATGTAAGGCATGGAAGTTTCCCCTTATGTGCTTACAGTTGACTGTGTTGGTAAGGAGTTTTAAGAAATCAGATCTGCTTTTGTTTGCATACAGTAAAATGAAATGTTTCCTCAACAATTTTAGTTTGTAGCAGTCTCTCAGGATCTGGCTTCAGCATGCTGATGAATCTGAAGTATAACAATCCATCTTCCATTTTTATCATAAACTTTAGGATATGATTGAAAACCAGCATGTTACATATTAATTGAGACTTAAATTAATTCCTTTCTGCAAGATCTGATAACGTATAAAAATAGAATTGAAATAGATTCAGTGTTGAATTTTGTATGGTCTGTCAACAGATGAATGCTTTTACAGCTCCCCTGTCAAGAATAGGTTATATATTAAATTGCAATCAAGCTCTCCTTTTTAGAGCTGTGTATATGTATATGATCTCTGGTTAATATTTCCTGTCTTGGAAGTGCTTAATTTTTTTCCATAGCAATGGAATATTATCCCCATTTTTGGGTCCCTAATTGGCTCAGTGCTGTTTTTCAATCTGAACCCCACTTCATACAATGTAAAATTCTTACATTAAAGCATCAGCCTTTAAAAATTCAGATGTTGGCACATATGTGTAAATTGGAATACATGATGTTCCCATAATGTGCATATTATTGCATTTACGCAGGATGGCATCCTTCTCAACTTTGGTTATCCTACACAGTGGTTTTACATTTTTCCAAGATCAGTTCTTCACAGCCCTGTGCTTCAGAGCCACATATCTTATTTCTCTGGAAAACTTGTTTTCAGACTCTGTGGCTCAGTTCCTAATGATATGCCCACTTAAGGTGCTTTGTATCATAGCTACAGAGACTACCCCCCGCCCCCACTTTGATTCTTTCTTGGATAAAGCAGGGGGCAAAGGTATCCACTATCTCAGTCAGTGCATTGTGATTAGTGATGTTCCTTTGTGATCAATTGTCTGTTCAGGATTACCGGTAAAACAACTCTCTGCTTTTAAAAATTTTTCTCTTTTTTTCTTTTAAGAAAATTATGTTCCTAAGGACTTTAAAGTATGCTGTTGAGCCAGTGTGGTTCTTGAACTTTCTCCTTTTTTGTTCATTTGGAGAATAAGAATTGACAGGATTACTTACAGTGAACGTGCTGAAATGTAATTATCTTGTGAGAATCTTTGCCATACATAAAATGGTTAAGTTGTCAAAGGATCAGATTTTTAAGCATGGCTACCAAGCCTCCTAGTTGGTTACTAAGTCACAGCAGCCTTTTGTGAAGTGCTGTCATGGTTTAGGGATGGTGACAGGCTTTAGGCAGGAGGAACAACTGTGCAAAGGAAAATTCTCTTTGGCCAGAATTTCTCTCCTATCTTTGTCTGGCTGGCTATTTGGGACAAACCTTTCATAGCTTTTTACTTTGCACCCATAAATTGTAAGCTCACATTCAAGTGGTTTTGAAGCCTCTTCTGGTTCTCCCTTTTTCAGCCCTTTGTCTCACTCATCCTTGGCTCTTTGGTTCCACTCCACCTCATCTCTGCTGGCCCCCACATTGTGCTCACTTCTCCAATCCATCTTTTCTTTTCTTCTGATTTCCATTGGTGTCTTTATTCAATATGCTTTTTTCTATTTTCTCTATATCTGCTGGGTTGCTTCTCTCTGCTGTTAAAAGAAGACTCTCTCTTCTTCTCCTTCTCTTTTATGCTCTCCACTTCCTAATTTTGTTTCTCCATATTGATACATTTTTCCTCTGTGCCTGCACACTTGCTCTTTCTTTCTCTCATTTCATTTATACAGAACCTAAAAACTCCTTACCTCCTGAAAAGCTATTTTATGCCAAAACATCTTTGCAGTAAACTATTTTAACAGCGCCTTTATTATGAGCTTGGACAAGGAAAAATTTTGAGCTGAGCAGAGAAGAGAAAATATTCCTATCTTCAAACAGGAGTAAAAAGATAACATTTTATCTTTTTATCCAGATACCAACAGACTGGTAAGCTTGTTGTCAATTCTGGGTGAAATTCTGGGGCAAATTGTTAAGCCATCAGTTTGTGAGCATTTATAAAATAATTCATTGCATGGCAGGAGCCTGTATAGGTTATCAAGAATAAATCATGCCAAAGTATTGGCTCACTATCTCTCTCTCCCCCACCCCAAGGATCTTGGTAGCCATTCCATCATGTCCTCAATGCAAGCACCAGAAAGTCAGCATGTTCTCTTAACAGACTCAGTCTCATTCACTCTCTAACCACTACCACCACCACCACCATCTATTTCTTCCTCCTCACCAGAACAGAGGCTGGTATTCTTTTCTTTGCAAAGCCTGTACGTTCATCTTCTTCAGTTTCTGAGGCTTGCAGTAGTTGTTCTTCATCCAAAAACATATATGGGGAGGCTCTGGAATCTATTCTGAAGCTCCAAAGAAAAAGAGCTGTTCTTAACAAGCTTGGCCTTTTATGTCACATTTCTCCATCGTTTGTTGCTTCCACCTGGCTTTCTTCTGGAAGGCTTCTTGGTATTGTTCTCTTTTTGCAAGTGCCTTATCCTATCCCATAATTCCTCATTTTCCCTGATAAGCTGGAAATTTGTCTCTAGCCCCTTCATCTTCTCTTCAAGGGGACCAGTCAGCCTCTACTTATAGCATTTGCAGTTTTTGGCCAAACATGGCACATCCTCTGCAGGTCACAAGAATAGTTCTACTCCCATGTTACTCAGATTAGGAGAATAAAAGAAAAAAAATCTTTCCCTATTGATACCTACTACCAAACTCCTATTTGCCCTCCCCGTTCACTTGTTCAGTGAGTCTGCTGTCTGGAAACTGGCTTCCTTCCATATAAGGAAACAATGCTCCAATTTGTTGGTTATGAAGGAAGCTTATCCTGCCTCATTTCCCATTTTTAAGCATTATTCAGGAAACCAAAAGCGCCACTCTACTGTTATCTAGTGTGGAAAACAAACAAACAAAATGTATACCTATAAACGTTCATTTTCAGAGAAACTAAAGTGAAGGAATATGAAAGAAGGAATATGAAGGAAGCATGCCAAGTTTCATAGAAATTGATTTGGGGAGTGGAGCAAAACACTTTTAAAAATACATTTTCAAAGTGCCTGTATTTTTCTTTTCTTTTCCCCAGAATGGGACAACATTTACATATTGCTATTAAATTCAGTAAAAATTGGGTTTTGAATGTAGGGTTTTTCAAAGCTACATTCTTTTAAATTCTGATTTTGTATATTTTTAAAAGTGCTATTTTTTGAGACAGAATGCATTAATACTTGCAGTGAAAATAGATCCTATAATGAAAAATATTTCTGGCAAATTTAGCATCATAGGATGAGAGGTTTTGTGCACAGGGAAGGTTTGTGGCAGGGAACTGATTGATATGTTTCCTCCATTGCCAAGATGCTGTGATTGGGGCAAGAAATGCATGCTTGTATGTTGTATGCTGTACAGTTTCAAGGGCAGGCTTGCCATTCACTGAATCCAGTGCTGCTCTCCATTCCACCAAGGGTCAGAAGGCAGCATTTAAAAGAAGTTTTCTCACCCATTATGGCATGTGATGTCTTCTTTTCCCTGAAATGCTAAGCTCCCAATTTATATATGAAAGGCAATTTATATATACAAAGACTGTGAAGGATCTTTAATCAGAGATAAGGTGAGTTAAGAGACTTTGGCTCCACCTTGAATGAATTGAAAAACACCCTGAATTTCCTGTTGTGCGTTGGCTTCAGGATTTGTACGTAGAGTCACAGCACAACCCAGGAGAGTTGTAATGAAAAAGAAAAACTCAGTGCTCAGAATTACAGTATTAAGAAAAAAATGCAAAAATAAAGCAATTGTGTTCAGCTAAAAATATAATGCAGGAAAGAGCATAGAATATCCTTTCTCCATACTGATTTTTTTTTTTTTAAAAAAAAGCATTTAGCTCTTGCCAATGTTTCTTAATCAACCTTTTCTCACTTATTCTTTAAAGAGGAGATATTGAACAGGGTAGTGCCTGAAGAAGCACTTCTGAATTAAATTGCTTAATTTTCTCTATATCTGCATCTAGGAAAAAATTCTATAATCTTAATTCAATTATTTTGTGATTTTGTTTTTAGGTTAACAAAGCCATTATCCTTTGCAGACTGTGTCGGAGATGAGCTACCATGGGGATGGGAAGCTGCCTACGATCGTCAGATTGGTGTCTACTATATCGACCACATAAACCGTAAGTGTTTTCTGTAAGTGCTGTATTGATTATATAAGAAGGCTTATCCAGATTAGACTCTGCTGTTAGACTCTTAACAAAGACTTGAAAACAGAAGATTTCTTATGAGACAGTTGAAACTCCCCACAGCAATTCTCTTAGTTTATTTCCTTAGGAAAAACATTAGCCTCTACTGCTGCTGCTTTTTCTCCTATTTCATTTTTTTTAGTGCTGCTATATCCTTCTATCAAGTGGATTTCAGAATTACTTAGAATTGTCTATTAACCTTAAACTTTTGTGTTACCAATTAAAACATTATGTTTTCTGTTTGTGCAAGCAACTCCCCAGGTTTTGCCAAAACATTCTAATTAATCCCACAAATCTGCTTTTTTTCTCAGAGACAAAACTCTAGGAGATGCTGAAGTACCCTTCAAGAAATATATTCATATAAAGTTACATTACAGTTATAACTAATTCCCTATGTTTTTGTTCTTCAGGCCTTTAGTATCATTGTATTGATGGTCAACGTGGTACCAAACATATAAAAGAGAAATTATAAGAGCAGTCTGATGGGAATCGGCCTTTAGTATCATTGTATTGATGGTCAACGTGGTACCAAACATATAAAAGAGAAATTATAAGAGCAGTCTTATGGGAATCTCAGAGTTTGCAGAACAGTAAATAATAATAATAATAATAATAATAATAATAATAATAATAATAATAATAATATCTTTAGGTGGAAAAGAAGCTGTAAGATTCAG